CATTTGTCCCAGTATTATTTATTGAAAAAACTATTCTTTCTCATTGAATTATCTTGGCACCAATCATCATCAATTAGCCATAAATTTAAGAGTTTATTTCTGTATTCTAAATTCTATTCTATTGATAAATTTCTATACTATGCCAATACCACAATATCTGAATTACTATAGATTTTAAGTAAGTTTTGAAATTGGGTCATGTGAGTTCTCCAACATTTTTTTTACATGATTATTTTGGATATTTTAGGCCCCTGAATTTTTATATGATTTTTAGGATCAGTGTATCAATTTCTGCAAAAATGTCATCTGGTATTTTGATAGGAATTTCATTAATAATATTAAGTACTCCAATTCGTGAACATGATATGTCTTTCCACATACTTAATTCCTTTCAATGATGCTTCGTAGTTTTTGCTGTACAAATCTTGCACTCTTTTGTTAAATTTACTTGTAAATATTTGTTATTTTTGATGTTATTATAAATTAAATTGTTTTTATTTCATTTTTTAATTCTGAATTGTTGTATAGACAAACATGAACAGTTTTTGTGTATTGGTCATGTATTCTGCCATCTTCTTGAACTGTATTCTTAGTTCAAATAGTTTTTTGTAGATTCCTTAGGATTTTTATATATAAGATTATGTCCTCTGCATAATATAGTTTTACTTCTTTCTTTTAAATTTGGATACCTATTATTTCTTTTATCTTTCCAATTGCTCCAGGTAGAACCACAAGTACAACGTTGAATAGCGTTGGTGACAATGGACATTCTTGTCTTTTTCTTCATCTTATGAGGGGTGATAATTTTCTCACCATTGAGTATGATGTTATCTGTTTTTTTTTTTTTTCTTTTTTTCTTTTTTTGCACTTTCCCTTCATCAGTTTGAGGAAGTTTCCTGATATTCCTAGTTGATTTATTTTTTTCCTCATAAAAGTGTGTGGGTTTTATCGAATGCTTTTTCTGCATATATTGAGATGGTCGTATGATTTTGTTCTTTATTCTCTTACTATGGTGCATCCTATTGTCTGATTTTTACATGTTCAAGCAACCTTCTTTCTTGTCATAAATCTCACTATGCCCTATCATGCAATCCTTTTTATCTGTGGCTGGACTTGGTTTGCTATTATGGAGGTATTTTACACCGATATTCCTAAGGGTATTATAGTTTTCTTTGTTCTTCCTGATGTTTTTATTTGATTTTTGTATCTTGGTAATTTTGACCTGATACAATGAGTCAAAAACAGCTCCCTCCTCTTTATTTTTGAAAGAGTTTATGATGAGTTGGTGTTTATTCTTTAAAGGATTGGAAGAATTCAGCCTTGAAGCCATCTGAGTGTAAGCCTTTCTTTGTGAGAAGGTTTTTGACAACTAATTCAATATCTTTACTTGTTATAGGTTTATTACAAGTTCTGGTTTTTTTTGAGTCAGTTTTATTTGTATTTTTCTTGGAATCTGTCAGTTTCATCTAGGTTATCTAATATTTTGTCATATGATTGTTCATAGCATCTCCTTTTAATTTTTTTTCTGTAAATTCAGGAGTTATATCCCTCTTTCATTTCTGATTTTGGTAAAAGAATGTTCCATGTGCACTCAAGAAGAATATGTATTGGAAAAAGTGCTCTAAATATGTCCATTTGGTCTGGTTGGTTTATAGTTTTGTTTAAGTCTTCTTTCACCTAGTTGTTCTACTCATTTTTGAAAGTTGGGCATCAAAGTCTCCAACTATTTAACCTAAAATATTATCTATCAGGCAAAGCTTTTTCCAGTAACCACAGAAGTATCTCTGAAGAAATATGCAGCAATACATGATTAACTATACACAAATGCATAGAGGATCGTTCTAGAGGGGTTGCATTCTAATAGTTAGATCTTCATACATTCACTTTTTGTTCATTTTCATCAATAGTTCTACCATTTAAAAAACTTTTATATTATACTGATAACCCTTTGTAAAGTTTTCCATGTTTCTCTTCCTCTTTTTAATGTATATTTAAGCATAAGAGTTTTAAAGGTAACATGCTATCAGATGTTCAATCTCTTTTTTTACTATTTTTACAGATACCATAAATTTTGTATAATATTATTGAACTGTGTATGTAATTTATTTTTGGATTGCTGTTAATGAAGGCATTTAAAATGATCTGAAGGATTTTAAAACTAGGTCCCAAAACTGTGCAATGTTCTTCATTCATCTAGATACTCATAGCCCAACTCTACCTGACTCTATGTTCATTATCTGGTTTTTTGAATATATATATACCCAGCACCAAGGTCAGTAGGGTCTGAAGAAATATTTGTAAATGAATGAATACGTATGTGTATCTAAGTTAACATTTATCATTAACACATGTATGTACATATCCACACTATAAGTATGCTTTGAAAAGAGAAACTGGAAACATAATCATAGTTTTACGAGTTAAATGAACACTTCTTCCTTATTAAATATGACATTAATTAGAATGTGAGTTACCATTAGTCACTCTTATGAGTTATACTTTGTATCACCTTTTCAGACCTTGAAAATGATGGCAATGTTCCATCCCAGCATTGGTTGTTTTCAAGCAACAGGAAAGTTACTTTTTAGGAGATATTCCA